TGTCTATGCACATGTCTATGCACATTTATTTCATGAACATCTATTTACTAATTTTTATTAAAATGAATATATTATAAATTTATTTATTTTTATTTCAAGTGTATGAGTGTATTGCCTGCCTATATGTAAGTGCACCTTTGTCATACAATGCCCATAGAATGCCCCTGATGCTTCAGGCATCAGATCCCCTGAAACTGCAGTTATGGATGGTTGTTAGTCGCCATGTGGGTTCTGGGAACCAAACTAAGGTCCTCTGCAAGAACAATCAGTGCTCTTTTCCGTGGAGCAATCTCTCTGCCTGTCTAAATTTATTTTAACGTTAAAGATGTTCATTTACAAAATGTCTGCCCTCCTACTTTAGCACCAATGAAATAGTAATTAATGTCCAGATGAATTTAAAAGGGGGGTGCAATTAGGGGAGGGGTTCTAAATATGATTAATGAAATATGCAAAATTTCAATAAAATATATGTTGAAAAAAGATGAATTTAAAGCAATCAGTTATTAAGTATGTTACTTTTCTTTCTTTCTTTCTTTTTAAATAGACCGTTGTTTTGTTTTACTATTTTGACATATGTTCCTGCTATGTATCCCAGGCTGGCTTTGAACTCCTTCTCTCTGGTCCCCAGTGCTGAAATTATAGGCATGACCTGCAACACTCAACCCTTTAATACATTTATTTATATTTATTTATTTATTATTTAATATATGTGTGTGTCTGTCTTCCTGTCTGTGTATGTCTGTGTGTCTTTGTGTATGTATGTGTGTGGACCATGGGGTACATGTGATGGTTAGAGTACAACTCCATGAATTCAGTTCCCTCTGTCTATCCTGTGGGTCTCCAGAATTGAACAGCGGAAATCAGACTTGGTGGCAAGAGCCTTTATCCACTGAACTATATTGTCACCTTCCCCCAAACTATTTTAACAGATTTTTTATTTATTATTTTTATTTTATGTGTATGAGAGTACTGTCTGCATGTATCTTTCTTCCCGTCTGTGTATGTCTGTGTGTCTTTGTGTGTGTATGTGTGTGGACCATGGGGTGCATGTGATGGTTAGAGTACAACTCCGTGAATTCAGTTCCCTGTCTATCCTGTGGGTCTCCAGAATTGAACAGCAGAAATCAGACTTGGTGGCAAGAGCCTTTATCCACTGAACTATATTGTAACCTTCCCCCAAACTATTTTAACAGATTTTTTATTTATTATTTTTATTTTATGTGTATGAGTGTACTTTCTGCATATATGTAAGTGCACCCATGAGATAGCTGCAGAGATCAGAAGAGGCCATTGAATTCCCTGGAACTGGAGTTACAAATTGTTGTGAACTTACATGTGGGTGCTTCGACTCAAATTGGAGTCCTCTGCAAGAGCAACCAGTGGTCTTAACCGCTGAGCCATCTCTCCAGCTCCCCACCCCCACCAACTCCTTTAAAATATGTTTTCATCTGCTAATCACTGAGGGGAAATACATATACTGAAGTACCACTTGGACTGCCTGATTGTGACCAAGCTAAGTAGCATGTAGAGCCATGAAACAATTTTGTGAAATTCATTGATCTTAGGATTTTTACCTAGGATTCATGGTTCACACAGATTGTTGTGAACTTACATGTGGGTGCTTTGACTCAAATCGGAGTCCTCTGCAAGAGCAGCCAGTGGTCTTAACCACTGAGTTGTGAAATTCATTGATCTTAGGATTTTTACCTAGGATTCATGGTTCACACATTCTTTCTGACAATTGTACTCAATAACACTTGCCCTATTTTTTAAAATGCACAATCCTCTTGTATTTTATATATAAATTGGTTTTAATTTTGATAATAGAGTTTTGGGGTTTTGTTGCTTAAATATTAGCAACTGTATTTTACAAATACTCATCTGGTTATAAAGATTAAAACGATGGACTGTAATTTGAACTACACTCATAAGATGCTGGAAAACACCTTATTGTTGAAAAATACCGAAAAGGGTATTGAAAATACCCTTGGAACTTGAAATTTTACCCTTAACTGCTAGCTGAGAAACACTATTTTAAATTTATGAAATATTCATTAAAATAGTTTATAATGAAATTATTTACACACATACATACAGTCTAAAACAGAAAATCACAGGTATCCACACTCATATTTACTGTAATGAAAATTATTGGCTACTGAGCTCGTTTTAAACCCTGAACAAATATATAAGGATATTAAAATTGCTAACGTCCAGAAACAGCAATAAGATTATTGTCTCAATTTTCCCTATGTGAAATCTAAGATTTTAAGGCTGAAGGAATTCTTTAATGCAAAGATTAGAAGCAAAAATATTAATAATGACTCTAGTAAATGTATTATCAGAGCCCCCAATCATAATGCCTGTCACTGTATATGACCCCAAATTAAGATATATATATATGTAGAAATATACATCTTTATGTGAATATGGTGTATGTATGAATTCATCTATTTTTACACTGAGTCTGCATCTACTTTTCTGTAGCAATGTTAAAACAGCATAAAAGCTGAAACAAAACCCAGTAAATCCACACATGTAAAATTAGTTCTGGGACCCAGTTATCAGAACCTCTTAGGTGCTGTGATTACAGGAATGCAGTACCCTCCTCCCTGGTTTATGAGGTGCTGGGGATCAAACCCAGTGCCTCATACATGCAGGAAAATTATTCTACCAAATATGCAACATCTCCAGCCCATCATCCCAGTTCCAAATATATTTTCTGTAGTACAATTCTCAATCTACACTTTATTAAAATCTTTCTTCATCTGGTAAATAATAACCATTACTATGTTCAACATTTAAACATGATCTAGGAAATAATAATATGACCAATACATTTTTCTCTAGAAAGGCAGATTTGTAAAGGCATTTTTATTGTCTTATTTTGTTTTATGGAAATTTTAGTTAAGAAAAATATACTTCTAAGGGAAAATTGAATGATCAGCACTGTTAGGATTCTGAAATTGGGGGCTCTTAAATAGACTGTCAAGAGGAATTCACATCTGATATGGGGTTCTTTCTCTTACAGTGAGGTTTTTAAAAATATTTTACTGAGTTTTTGTGCATTTCATGTAGTAGTTCATTATCAAATGCCCCCCATAGCACACACACACACACACACACACACACACACACACACACACACACACACACCTGATTTCATGCATTCTGTGAATTTTGAAGAGGCCATTAAATCTAATTTAAAATTGAGATGCTCACTGAAAATTGGAACAAAAGGCTCTAAAAGGCAAAAATTAGATTATAAAAGTATACAGCATGTCATTGTTTTTTTTTTTGTTTTTTATGGTTTTCTTTTTTGTGGGTTTTGCTTGTTTGTTTTGTTTGTTTTTGAGACAGGATCTTTCTCTGTAACCAAAGCTGACCTGGAATTGGTGATCACCTGTCTCAGGTTCTGCAGTGCTGTGATTGCAGCTGTGAGCCACTATGCCCAGCTGTGAGCCACTATGCCCAGTTACTACTTTTTCTTAATTTAATAGATACATGAGAACCATTCATAATACTCTGGTATCATATGATGATTCTGTGCATGTACACAGTGCCCAAAGTTTCAATCAGGTTGACCCATAAACATTTAGTGTTTATTTGCTGTCAAGCTGTCCACTGTCCTTTTTTCTTGCTTTTTCAAGTAAACGGTACATAATTACCATCTGTGGCTCTCTTACAGAACAGAGCACACTGAACTCTTATCCAGCTATAACTCAGCCCACACTGAGCTGTTCTCCCACCCTCTACCAGATTTTCCAACTACCATCATATCTTCATGGTAAAATTTTGGGCCATTTAAAATTTACCTTTACATTCCTTTGGGTTTTTTTTCATGTTTTTCAAATACATTTTTGTATGTATGAGTATGATTTTAAAATATTTTACTATGTTTTTAGCTGCATAATAATAAGTACCATAAAATATTTATTGATTCCAAAGAAGATTAGATTTGCAAATACAAAGATATTATCAAGGATTGTTTTCATTTTCATTTTTGTATCCTGGGATTCTGAGTGACTTTGCTTTTTTTTAAAAAAAAAACTGTTTTGTGTTTTTCATTTTTTTCAATAGTAAAACACTTATCCATCATAAATAAAAAATCATAAACATTAGAAATATCTATGTGTAGCTCTGGGGTATTAAGATTTCAGTTATTCCTAAAACATATAGCATTTGAAAGAGATTGTTCAAAAGTTCCAAATAATTAATTTAAAAAGCATAGTAACTGTAACTCACACTATAAAATATAAAACAGCCATTCCCAAACTGAGATCACACAATAACTATTCCTTGTTTATCTCCATCCATACAGTTCCCCAAACTGTAGTACTTTGAGGAAAGACTGTAGGAAGTAAGGGGCTACAATGTCCCTGCCGTTCAGTGACCCTGTCCCTAACTGATCATACCCCCGAATAGCAATAATTGTAGACCTCTGTAGTAAGTTCAGCTGATATGAATAAGGTTTCCCCAGTTCATGAGAACATCGTTCAGGGTCCCTTGATGTTTGTACGTAGCTGTTGGTTAGGGTTCTTTATGGCTCATGCTTTTCATGTTCATTTTTCTCATTATGCATACCATTTTTTACAGTGTCTTAGTTTAATTGTTTATCGCTATGATAAAAATACCCTGACAAAGGCAACTTAAGAAAGGATTTGTTTGGCTCACAATTCCAGATCAGAGCCTGTCATAGTGGGGTAGTAAGCGGCAAGAGCCTGAGAAAACTGGCCCCATGACTTCCATGTCAGAAAGCATATGAAGGAGCGTGTGCCGGTGCGCACTCATTTTCTTCATTCTCATACAATCCAGTGTCTTATGCCAAAAGAGTGGTGCCACCCGCAGGGGGCAGGCCTTCCAATCTCCAGGTAATCAAGATGGTCTGTAACAGACATTCTCAGAGACTAATTTGAATCTAGACAGTCCCTCACAGATGGGCACAAAGGCTTGCTTCCTAGTGTCAAGTTCACAATACTAACCATCAACAGACACTTTTTATTGTAATTCAGTGTGTTAAGATAGTTTACAAAATATTTTTTTCAAATAGGATTCTCTCTTCTAACGTAATTTGTCCATTTGTCTCATGATAAAGATTCCTGGATGGCAAGCTCCTCGATATCAGCAAAGACTTTCAGCCATATTATGGGGAAGGAGGACGCATTCTAGAGATCCGGACTCCAGAGGCAGTGACAAGCATCAAGAAGCGAGGAGAAAGCTTGGGGTACACGGAAGGGGCCTTGCTGGCCTTGGCCTTCATCATCATCCTCTGCTGCATCCCGGCCATCTTGGTCGTCTTAGTCAGCTACAGACAGTGAGTATCTAGAAAGGCATTCAGAAAGCTCCCTGGTAAAGCGGCTTCATTATTGCAAAATGTTATTGGTACATACGGAGCTTTCCAGCCTGTACATAATCACCTTCCTCAAGGGGAAACAACACATACTTCCTGTACATTTCTCACAGAGGGCTGAGTGATCCTGTGCACCTAATAAGTTCTCGCTCACAGGGGTATTATCGCCTATAGCTTTATGCATTCCTTTCTGTGGGTAAAGACTGCCCCCCAGGGGGAAAAAGCTTAAGTCTGTAAACAGCAGTGTAAGGTCTGGAACTTGGTTACATTTCCTGTTTTATTTATTTATTTTTCAAAATCAAAGCAGATACATTGACCTCCATCCAGACAATATACTGTCAGCAGAGCCATCCTCAAGTCCCAGCATTCCGAAACCTGTGATTTTTGACATTTCTTTCTTTCTTTCTGAACACCCTTGTTAGAGTCTATTATATTTAAGTGTATTACATATAAATGCATATTTTAGCTGAGTAGAATCTTAGTTTTACTTTTTGCTACAGTAAAACACACTCCTTTGCAATGTGTATATTTAAAATTATTTAGGAACTTCAAAGTAGTCAAGTAATTCAAGTGTTTGAAGTGTCTGTAATTGAGGAAAGTTAGGAATACACTGGGCCTGACACAAACCTTGAGAAATTGGTGATAAGGGCTACACATCTTAAATATACTCCTACTGAGAATGGTTTAGAAAAACAACGGAGAGCTGATTAAGAAGAGGAATAGCCCAGAGAGAGCCATAAAAAGTAAATAATAGACAATTATCATAAATCATATAAATTGCTTGACATAGAAAACTATAAGAAATAATGGTAGACTGGCTATTCATCTTTAAAATGCACATAGGGAAGTACTAAAGTGCTCCTTATATATTTTTCACTGATATCTTTCTTTTCAAATACTGATATTTTTTCTTTTGAATACAGTGACTTAATTCTAACCCAAAATTCTCAAGGAATGTGCCATGTGAG